GGTCCCCCCTCTCCAAGGGGTTCAAGCCACCCGCCCAATAGGCTGCCCACTGGGTCAGAGACCAGGGGGCGTGGTAGTTCCCAGTAGTTAAAAACACTCCTGGTACCCAATATCCTTCCGCCTCTCTTTCACTTAATAGAATCTGGTCCCCCCCAGACAGTGACACTCTCCACACATACTCCGTTTCTGATTCCTTAGGGGTTCACCCAAATTCCTTCTTTAGTTTCATCAACTCGACAGCAGTATAAGGGACTTCCTTGGTTGTAACTTGGGGGAACTGGTCCTGCTCATCATCATAAATGTACTCGGTCTTGACCAAGGGTCGCAGCGAAAGCGGTTCTAATTTCTCTACTTTCTCTTTCGCTGCCTGCAGGTCGTTAAAGGGGTAGCCAATTTCAGATCTTGGGGGAACTTCCTCGCAGGTAGTATCCGCAAGGAGCTGCTCCTTAAGGGCAGTCTGCAAATGTTTCACTTGATCCTTTTCTGCCTTAAGTTGTTCTTTTAATTCTGCCACTTGCCCCTGAAGGGACCGGGTAAGGCTTTGAAGGGATTCGATAGGGACTCCGCAGTACAGCAACGATCTCTAGCCTCTACTGCGGCACATGTTTTCTCCAGTGCGGTTCTGCAGCTGCAGTCATCTGCAGGACTCTAGCTCATGGAAAGCCACATCTCTCCCAATGCCATCCTCATGCAGAAGCTCCCCTCCCATGCTACATAGACCTCTGTCCTAGTTAGAGCATATTAATAAAGATTCAGACACAAGAATGGAATTACTGAAGAGGAAATCATTCACAGAAAGTAACAGGAAAGCTGAGCCCAGTCCACCCTGGGCACAGAGGGTCGCACTCTATGTTCCTCCAGAAAATCAAACAAAACTTCCCTTCCCGAGGGAACGGTTCTATCACCACTCATTTTGTTTAAAGCAGGGAAGCGCTTTTTTTTTTTTAAGCAAGACAGTGGAAAAATCTTGTTACTTATTTCTAAAGTGGTTCTTTTTTTTTTTTTTTTTTTTTCCCCTGATGTATGTAACATCAGGGATTTTCAGGTCCAGATGGATTTCCGGGACCAAAAGGAGAAAAGGGAGATTCCTTATACATAACTACTAAAGGTAGAGTTAAAATTCATGTCACGTGTATTTTGCTATTATTTATACCTTTCATGAGAGATTGGTCTCACAATGAAAGGTCTTCTTTAGGCACCAAAGGAATCCGAGGAGATCCCGGGCTGCCTGGTATCAGAGGAGAAGATGGTTTCCCAGGCAGAGATGGATTAGATGGTTTACCAGGACAGCCTGGCCTTCCAGTAAGTAGCAAATACAGCTAAATCATTTCTACCATGCTCAATTAGTAATATATTTAATTCTGAGGGGTTATGATCACTAGGTTATCCTTCTGTCCCAGATAATGATGCACACCTAGACTGGTTTTGCTGGTTATTGATATATTAAACAACAGGTTTACGCTCAGGGTTTTTAGAACAATCTTTCACTTTTATTTCCATTTTACTTAAACAACTAAATAGTAGTGTATAACCCCTTTAGACCAGCTGTCATTACTTTTAGTTAGTTTGTGATAACTGATGTTTTATTAGTTAAACAATTATTCTCTAGCATTGTCTAAGAGAGATTCTGTATGGCTGAACTTCAACAGTTTTGTTACAACTGAATTAAAACCAAAATTTACTACAATTTTACATCCTCAAAATGTAGGTTGTGTCATCATATATATGCTTGATAGCACCTCACCTAACTAACTGTAGCCATCTAGAAGTTAGACATGTAGTCTTAGTTCATTTTCTAAGCTCCTTCTGTAGGCAAAAGAAAAAGTTAAATATCTTACGAGATGAATTCATCTTGCCCATCGTAAATGCTGTTTTGGACCACTGGGATGCTCTTTCTTACATCATATTTGAAGATAGCCAGAACCGTGTCATCCAGTCTGGACCACAGTGCTTTTTACTACCAGTAAAGATGGTACTTTATATTACTTCTGAGGATGGAAATGTTTTCTAGTGATGTTCATAAGATATCAATTTAATAGTGCAGAAATACCACTAGAGGAACAGACAAAGAAAAAATTTTGCCCATTTAGGTGCAATTTTATATCAGTTTTTCTCAAGGTCTCAGAAGTAAATGCCACACCAGAACATCTCTAGCGATGCATGTGGTCCCAAAACCCACTTGCAGCTTTTCAGAAAGGGCAGTAAGCCTCTCCACAGCAATGATTCATACTGCCCAAGTTCATGGGCCAACATTTTTAGGGGAATGCTCCCTCCAAGAGTGCTTCTTTCATGCCTTTTCTGCCACGGAGTCTAAATTAAAGTCAGATTATTTCAAATGTATTTTATTTACAATGTTGATGTAAAGAACTGGGATGGAACACCTGAGGAATTACTGCCTATAAGATGTTATTCATGAGAGTAGTTCAACTGTTTGAGTTTTGTTTGTTTCTCAGCAAAGTCAGGAGTGACCACCTCCATTCACTTCCCACAGGGTGATGGTATCAGAGGTTTCCCTGGCGATCCTGGTTATCCAGGCGAATTAGGCCCAAAGGGCTTTCCAGGAGAAGCAGGCCTGCCAGGTGAAGGATTTCCAGGTCCAAAAGGGTACCGGGGTCCTCCAGGTGACCATGGACAAGATGGAAACCCAGGACCTCCAGGTCTGCCTGGTCTGCCAGGAGAGCCTGGCCAGCTAGGTAAGAGACATCACTCTGTCTGACATCAAAGACGTGGGAGATCATTGAAAGCTGGAGAGGGACTGTTTGTCAGGGAGTGTAGTGATAGGACAAAGTGCAATGGCCTTAAGCTGAAGGAGAGTAGATTTAGATTGGATATTAGGAAGAAATTCTTCACTGTGAGGGTGATGAGGCACTGGCATAGGTTGCCCAGAGAAGCTGTAGATGCCCCCTCCCTGGAAGTGTTCAAGGCCAGGCTGGATGGGGCTTTGGGCAACCTGGTCTAGTGGAGGGTGTCTCTGCCCATGGCAGGTGGGTTGGAACTAGATGATCTTTGAGGTCCCTTCCAACCCAAACCATTCTGTGATTCTCTGATTCTATGATGACTGAATTGTGTGCAGCACACTGTTGAAAAGGTAGTGTTTAGGGGGAGGTGGGTTATGTGGGTAAAAAGGGATTGCTTGTATTACTTGTTCAGAAATCTTAAAGAAGGAAATACTTCAGAAGTCCCAGTAGTTTCATGTCAGGTACTGAAATAGCATGAATGAATGTGTTAGCGCCAGCAAATAACATCTTTCAGGTCTCAAGCAGTTGGAGTCAATGGAGCAATGTCCTGCCACTGGAGTACTCACAGGTGGTTTTCTCTGGTCTTTTCCATCTAACATTATTTTTTAATTGACCAGAGAAAATCATATATCCATCCTTCAGAGCTCTTCATAGTATCTCTGTAGCTTTCCAAATCCTTTCCAACATAAAAATGCCAGGGCTACATTCACAAGAGCTCAGGCTTGGAGTTTTATTGCTCGTCTCAAGATCCTGGCACAATATTCAAGCCAGAGCAGGCACCTACCAACCATACTCAGTGCGTGGGACACATAGCCTCCTGACTCTGACAGGGTTAGGTTTCAGGCCTGGATGTAATTAATATATGGATAGAGAGTTCCAGTATGTTATAGTAAATAGTTAGTGTTGTATGCATGCATAATGCATAAGAGAATACATTATCTGATGTTGTAATAGACATTTTGGTTAGAACTGAGAGCATTTCACAAATTTTCTCTTTAAATAATAACTGTCTTTGGCCATTCTTCGCTCATAGACTGTGGGCAGGTCACTGAAGACTTTTCTAGAGGAGATGGAACTGAGCCGATATGGTCAGGTAGTGTACATACAAATGGCTTGATACTTTCTTCCTGATGACTGCTTTGGATGCTCGTGATTGTAAACTATTTGAATTTAAGGTCACAAACTATCATGCATATACTGTAGGTAACTCTAAAGTAATGTAATCAAATTGAACATATTCTAAAATTATTGCAGTTTTAGCTCTGCAATTCAGAAATTATTTATTTCGTTGCTCCTGAGTATTTATTGTGGCAAAATAATGATTACCACACCATCTATAACAACAGTCCCAGAAATTAGGTGCCCAAGAAAATGTAAGCAAGTTTTTTTAAAGAAGAACTTTGAACATTTTCAGTGCAATTTGACCTATAAAGAAAAAGTCCTTCATTTGCACCAAAAATTGACTTCATTGCTTTAGGGGTATAAATTGCCCACAGGGAAACAAAGTGTCTCTCTTATTCTGAAAAATACAGTCATCCATGAGGTTGGACTACCCTTCCCATGCCGGTCTAACTGGAGCAGCCACCATAGCCCCTGTAAAAAAGGCAGAAGAGCAGCTCTTGAGGTAGAGCTGTCCCATTTTCCTGTGAAAATACCACCCATGACCAATTTTTTTTAAAGTTAAGAATAAAACTTTTTTTAAATTAGAGTTTTGCCTGTTAACCTGCTTTAATGATGTCATCTCAACTGCAGGCGCAGAGCTGATGAGAGGCAGGATATGAGCACGTACAGTGCAGCTTAACCCTCTTTGTTTGCAGGTGCGGGCTGTGTGAGGCCACCAAAGGGATCTCAGGGCAAGCCAGGACTGCCAGGAGCCACAGGTAACATTTTGCCTTCACCTTTGTTTCCCACATACACTACGTTTTGAGGGAGATCTTGCCAGATCGATTAAAGTTGAGCCTTAGCAGGCAGCGAGCTTTAGAAACGAGAATGGAGGACAGTGTAAACTTGAAGCCAGCAGAGAGATCTAAGCAGTGTGCAGCTCAGGCGGCTGCACCGTTCCTGAGCTAATTATGCCTTTGCTAATGGGTGTCAGCCATGAAACAGAAGACAGAAAGGACAGCCTATTTGCTATTCTTTACATGTAAGTAAGTGAGAGTATAGAGATGGTCTACAACTTTATTGGTAGAGAATATACCAAAGTCTCTCAGAGCTGACTGGACACCTCCTGTCCTCTGAGAGCAGGGTGATAAAAAGTTGCAGTGGAGGACTGTGGCAGATTCTTCTTGCTATTCCTCCTCATGTGATACACAGAGCGCCTTCAGCAAGCATGAGCCTAAAGCCTTTAACACGGCTCGGTGTAATGGGCCAGTTGTCTGACGCAATGCAGTTGCACTGTCTGTCGCCACGCAAGCCTTCCTTGTAGAGCTGGTCCACCCCAGCCCAGAGGGACCATCTGGCAATCCTAAACCTTCCCAGCACTGAGGGTTCCCCACCTCTTTCCAAAAGGAAGAGGAAGAGGAGGTGGGGACAGGGTCTGAAGGACTGTGTGAGATGGAATTGAAAGAAACACGGACAAGGTGTGCTGAGTGGTCATAACGATTGACTTTGAAGAAGGAACCTCTGACCAGCACTGGTAGTTTCTATAAGCTTATGTACTCCCAGCCTAAGCAATCAAGCTGTTTTTTCAGTAAATCCTTCTCATCACCAGCTGGAAAAGGTACTGACAAAAACCATAACTGTCCTTCAGAGTTTGGGAAATGTAAAAGTCTTGATGCACCCGTTCCTGTGCCTCCTGTGCTTTAGCCAAGGTCAGAGATCTGGACTATAAATTTTAAGGTCAAGCACCAGGGTTTTTTCCAGCACAAGGTTTACTATGGCATGCGTGGATTGATGGATTGATTTATCACAGACTAACAGATCTTAAAAGGGAACAGTTTATCTCTGTTGAAAGATGATGTGTATCTCTGACCTATACTTCCTCAGTCCTAATGCCTTAGTTTGTTGTTAGAATAAATGCTTCTGAAGGTTTTTTTGTTTTCTTTGCCATCTTTGTAATTTTTTTCTGAGTATGATGATTCATTCTTTCATTCATATGAGCTTGAAGGTTTTTCTTTCAGCAAATAGTCAGATTTAACTCTTAGCTGTAAGACTGCTGTAACACAAGTGACGCTGTTTTCGTGTCTTTTTATACTCTTAGTTAGCTCTTTAATAAATCTTTTCCTGTCTTTGTCAGTTTGTATGTTTTAGTAATTTTAAGATTTGTTTTGCATCCCTTCCTGCCAAAAACTGGAAAAGACCCCTTGCTGAGCCTAGGGCAGAACTCTGTTTGTAGCCGTCTTTCAACCCAAGGCAGTTCGGGAGCTGGAAACCTGGGAGGAACAGGACACATTTTCCAACTTTTTGCAGCTTCTTGTTGCCGTAGCTGCCTCAGTCTAGTTTCCTGGAGCATCATTCTTACCCACATTCTCTGGATTGACACAAGATCACCAACACTTCACACTATTTTTATTGTCTGCTTAGAGCGAGGTAGTTTTGTCTACAAGATATCCTGCCTTCTTTTCAGCCAGGATGGAGCTCTGCTATAAACAGTCAAGCCTCTCAGAGTCCTAGGTGCTCACATCACGGCACCTAGTATATCAAGCAAGGAGTCATCTTTACAGCCTCACACCATTATGTCCTTGTGTTCCTTTGAAATTCCTGGCAACGAACACAGCCCACCCTGTTACATCCTGGTTATTCAGTAGTCTCAAGACCTACATGATTGCTGTTGAATAAAATGTTTTAAGTTGTTTTCTGTTTCAAACGTACAGCTAAAGCGCTTGCAAACTAAACATTGGTCTAAAAGAAAAACTTCTTCTTACTACTCTTTGGCACAACCAGCTAATGTCGCATAATGAGTTACTGAAATACGTGGTAGGCAGTGGTTGCATTCTCCGTTTCCGCCTTCTTTCTCTAGTGTCGTTTTTTAATTAGTGCAATGCTGAACAGAATGAATGAAAGTCAGTTATTACAGATGGGAAACAAGACCGAAATGCTATTTGCATAAGAGGCACATTAGAATTTTTCATTAAGACCTGAAAGCCTAGGACTTTTCCTTTTAATTACTTTCTGAGAAGTTATTGTTCATATGAGGGAGAAAACAGTAGTCCTGTACGGCACTGGGAAAATGCTATTCACACTGCATTGGCTGTTAATGTGCACCTTATTTGTGGGTTTTTTAAAGGTTTCCTTCTCCCCTTCACAAACAACAGCTAAAACTGCAAAAAATCATGGTTAAATAATGGAAACTCAGAAAACTAAAATGGAAAAAAGTGTCAAAATTCAAGTGATATTTTCCTTGGTTTGTCATAGTTAGAGGTGGAGAGAAACTTCAGTGTAATAAATAAATGAGTTGTAATTCATGGTGATGCTAAGCAACAACACTTAAAATGTTAAAGCATGTTGTTGACCTTCAAGCCTGAGCTGGGAACTTAAGAGTTCGAGGAGCTGGGGGGCATAGGGAAACAAAGCATTCCACAGGAATTATTTTTAAAGAACTTTTTACCAAAAAATCGTGATCTCGGAATACAGCAAATTAATGAGGCTCATGTAATAAAACTATTGCATGAAAAAATATATATAATTTTATAAACTTAACAAGAGAATCCTACAAAATGCTTGCAGGTTTTGAGATATTAAGAAACATTAATATTTGCCCTACCCAAATGTCAAAAACTACATCACAAGGAAGCAAGGTCTCATTTTACCTGTTAGAAGATAAAAGAGTATGAACATGAGTTCAGTGCCAGAGGAACACTTTTTCAGGGCACAGCCCTTCTTTTACTACTGAAGCTATAGACCTGTACTGTTACAAATATAGTAAGTAGGCTAGTTAATTTGTATTCAGTTTCTAGGTTGATTAGATCTAACCTTTAGCCTTACATTTCTGTTTCGTGGTTATCTAAACCAGTCTGCTCTTCTTTAGCAGGGAAGGAAAAAATTTGCTCGTCCTACAGCATCTCATCTGTGCCTGTTTCTGTTGAGTACTCTTCCTTTGACATTGCTTTTTGACCTTAAGCTAAAAGCCTGAATTTACAAAATATTAAAAGTCTCCAAAAGTCGGTGAGACTGATTATTTTCACCCTAGTAGTCTCCATAACATTAGTCTTACAGTCAGGATAAACCATGTTTGTAAGAGCACTTAGCCTAGAGTTTTGGTCCATGTCTTGGGATCTTGAGTACTAAAGAGCTACAGTATGGTCACATTAAATTAAAAAAAAAAAAAAAGCTTATCTTTGCATCCAGAAACAAGTCTTGATGATATTTACCATTACCTTTTCTTATACAATATATGCACATTTCAGTTTTGTTTGTTCAGATCACGCTTTCTTACTTTCTTCTATATAATTTAGGTGCAAAAGGTGCAAAAGGATTCCCAGGTGATCCAGGTCCAGTGGGATACCCAGGGTTTAATGGTACACGAGGTGATCCAGGTCGGGAAGGATTCCCAGGTCCTCCAGGTATCTTGCAATAATTAGTCATTCTTTATATTTATTTGACCTCTGCTACAGTCACTGAAATGCAATAACGTTATTCCAGATACATTTTCATTTATCTTCCCTTCCACACTCAAACAATAAACTATTATACGAAACTGCTACTTTTCATAGCCAAAAGGATTTTCTGCCACTTCTGCAGTGATCAAAAGTAACAAAGATGCCAACCTTTTAAAATCTGCTTTATAGTGCAAAATTATAAATGTGGCAGTAAAAAATCATGAAGTTCACATAGAAATAAAGAAATTCAATAGTAAGATATTTCAGATTCCAAAAGGAATCTACTCAGAAAGGAAGAAAATACTAGTATTAGTATTTCTATTTAACTCTTCCTAGCATTGGTATAAATTATACTGGACATATCAAAGGCGGAGTACTAGCTACTCACCTTGCCCATAGGCACCTGTGGTTCCAAACAGCGTTTGCGTGTGTTCGATGCCTGTCATATTTTATGTTAGTCTGTAATAGATACAGATTAAATCTCAAGACTTCTGTATCTCTCCAGAGGTTCCAGGATGTCCAAGACTCATCAGTTAATAGTTGATCTGTTTGTAGACAGTAAGTCAGATGAGCCTAAAATAGTGCCACCACACACAGGTATAAGCTGCAGTGGGTTGTGTTCACAGATGATCAGTCAGTCCAGCAAGAGTTACTGCCAGAAACTACCACTTGCCTGTGGTTAACCAGGTTAATTTGGTCAGAGAAACGAGCACTGAGTTTTTTCTGTAGCACAGTTCAGAAACCATTGATGCAACTTAATTTAGGAGCTCTTTAGACATTCTCTCCATCTATCCGTTTTCCAAGTCCTAAATCCTCACAGATTCTGAAGTGCTGCAAACTTTCCCAAATCCAGTGCCCAGGTGCTGCTTCGCCCTAAGGCAGCACATGACCTGAAAGTATTCTCTAGGCTCATCTACAGCATCTGTAGTAGCAAAAGAGGAAGCAAAAGAAGAGTTGATGCGTGTCCTGGTCAACAGGCAAGGGATGCATCATAAAACATGGCTCTGTGCAGCGTAGGGCAGGACCATGAACCTGTATTTCCTCTGCTAAGCTCTGCAGAGTGCTCTAAATGCTAAATTAGAGCTCCCATACCACATGGCTCTCAGGCCACAGGGCGGTCAGCACTCAGACAAATTTTCTGCAGTCTTCTGTACTGTCTTTCACCAGTGCTTGGATTTAACTTCCAGTCCAGGTCCAGTTTCCCAGTCCACAAAAAGCCTTTCCCCTGTCATTTGTGGTAATGGGGGCTTGTGCCCTCCCAGACATTCACCTACAGGGTGGAGGACAGGGATGGTGGTGTTCCTTCATCAGGAGCATGAAGTGATTTAGGTAGCCCTTTGAGATGCGTGTGGAACAGCAACAGCAATGACCTATCTGGGCAACTCCCCCAGGCCTTCCCAGTCTACCAATATGCATTCACTCCACATTTAGTTTTCCAAATTTGACTCCCTGAAATGCCTGCCCCCTGCTGCATATCAAACCAGGTTTTTGTGTGCAGGAACTGGGTTTTTGCCCTTACAGAATAAGACATTTATAAAATGCTGCAGTAGCCATGTCAAAATAGTTGCACAGAAGTAACTGTGCTTGGAGCTGTGGATCTTTGATCACCCAGGCAGTAGATGTCCTGAGGGGTCACCTGTAGATTCTGCCGATTTCAAACGTTCTTATAAATGTTATGTGATTTAAAAACATTTATGTAACTCTTTGTTTGATTCTACAGATTTCTGCTAAGAACTGGGGGAATTTCCAATATAAAAGGCATTATGGTGGTGTATCTAGGATTTGAATGCCAACATTTGTAGTGAGCCCTGTGATACCTAGTCCCTGTTTTATTTATAGGTTTTACGGGGCCCAGAGGAGACAGGGGCCTGAATGGTCTACCTGGACTGCAGGGACACCCAGGCCTTACAGGAAAATCTGGTGCTCCGGGAGCGGCAGGACTGAAGGGCTTTCCTGGCGAAGTTTCAGGAGCAGCAGCAGGTTCCCGAGGGGATGTTGGGCTCCCTGGCTTCCCAGGGTTGAAAGGCACACCAGGAGATCAAGGAGTACCGGGAATTAGAGGTAACACCTACTTCAAATAAAGAAATGTTTGAGTTAGAGTGTGATATAAATGTAGCCAAATTATAGAGATGTGAGAGTAGTAAGAGACCGTGTTAGGACACATTGGAGGTAGTGATAACCCCAGCATCAAATCCCACTGCCTGATGATCTCCCATCCCTTCCCCATCTACTTCGTTACCAATGTGCCTGGCTCCTCCAGGTCCTTCTGGAGATGCATTGCTCATGACCAGCTCTCCTTCACGTTGCACTACATGAAATCAGCTACAATAGGGTACCAGAGAACCAGATTTTGCTCATCTTTGTTGTGTTCAGATGTACTATTAATTTTTCCCACTGTAGTTAAGGGAATCCTGATGTCGTTACTATCTTGACTTTTCACTTATGTTCTGCGTAATACTGAGATTGTTTCCCACGCCAGAAGATGTTCGGATAATACATGGCTTTGCAGAATAGCACATTACACTAGTGCAGAAGTTGTAAATTTTAACTAAGATGACATAGTGTTTAGTAAATGTCAATAAGCCATTTTACCTGGTCAATCTTTGGGCACTCAGGAACAAGAAAAAAGATAACATTATATACTTATTCATAACTTTAGAGTGTTCGTTTTAATTCATTGTTTCACAGAGCTTAAAAGCACGCTAAACTCCCTATGGAAAACAGAGAAAACCATAGTTTCTCCACAAAATCTGACTTTGTCACCCTCTGAATTCTTTGGAGGACTTTCAAAAGCAGATGTGGGAATTAAACGTCCCCTGCTACACAATTTCAGTAGCATTTGGACACATAGTTAAGTGTAGGACTGCTGATTACCCCCTTGCCCTGTTGCAGAAGTGAGAAAGGAGTAGTAATTGTGTGACTAGCTCAAGGCAAGGATGTGTATCACAGGAACCTGTTTTGGAGACTCTTCTCATGATTTTCAATACAAATAAAAAAAGAAGTGGATCATCTTACATGAGTTATTTGAAGTGAGGAGAGATGGTTTCACCTTCAGTAGAGCCCCAGAGTGAAGGAAAAGGATGAAGGCAGCTCTGTGGCACTTGACGAGTTTGAGAAAAGGCAGAAAACATCACTAACACCTCTGAAAATGGGAAGAAATTCAAGGTAAAACATGGATTGAAAAGGGGAAAAAAATTGTGTGACTTTGTGCCTTCTTTCTAAGCATTTCTGTAGAACTAAGTTTTCAGTAATAAAAAGTAAGTACAGTGAAAAGAAAAAGCATTACTAGTTTGTCTGTTCTTGATTTATTTTACAGTTCTGACAGAATGGCTCCAAAAAAGCATGTGAATTTTTCTGTGAGGCATATTTTTTTAGTTTTATAAGAAGTGGCTAGTGGCCTTTATATCATCTATGCTACTTCAACTACTGGCCCCTCAGAACAGAGAGCTAAAGCCTGTATTCTGTTGTTGAGAAAACTCACCTTATGTGACCTCAGTTAGAAAGCACCCTTCACTACAGTCAAGCCAGTGGATCTACACTGATGTAAAACCCGAATAAAGAGAAGCAGATCCACTTGGCCTGGATTTTAAGTGGCATGTGCTTTTGAGGTCTTGTACGCTGCTGCTTTTCTAGCCTGAATGCAAAGTGGCATTCCCTTTTAAGTCTTGACACCTCCTTTGCTGTTAAATCCTAGAGACGTTAATTTTCACCCAGTGCCCTAAGTCATGTAGAATCAGAGCCTTTTTGCTTAGGAATTTGTGTGAATCTTGTAACAACGCCTTGTATTGACCTTACTTGAAAATTTCTGAACAATAACACAAAACCAGAACCCACTGTCTGCCTTAAATGTTCCCATTCCAGCCTATCCCATTTTAGAATAGATATAGAGCATTATTTCAGTGGTTCAGTCAGCTGCTTGATTCAATTCTTATAAAGATGTATGTGAGAAAGAGAGAGATCAAGAATTACAGAATTATTTGGGTTAAAAGTGGAAGAGAGCTGCTCCATCTATATCCACCAGGTGCCAGATTGTTTGCATTCATTTGAAAGAGCCGGTCAACATTTCTGATGCAAATATTGAGATCAGTACTGGTAATGTCAATTATTTTAAAACTAATGAGCAATCTTTTAATTTGTTTCTCTTGTTCTCACTGAATTTTCAGAGGAAAAACATACCCTGAAAGACCAGTGCATCCACAGAAGTGATATGTAATAGCCAGCTCTCTAGATATTTATGCTCTCTAATGCATGATTATGGTATTTCAGGAGCGGATGGTAACCCAGGTTTGCCAGGACCCAAAGGACATCCAGGACCACAAGGTCTCCCTGGTTTGATGGGATTGCCGGGAACACCAGGAATGCATGGATTCCCAGGGCTGCCAGGAAACCCTGGGCCAGGTGGCAGGCCTGGCTCTCAAGGACCTGATGGTGAGCAAGTATCCCTGCGCTGTGTCACTCCTCCTGCCAGTTCTCTGTGGCAGGGCAACTGTATGGTTTCCACAGCAGAAAATTAAGCTTGGGGTCGTGGCACATGCCATGCTTTAATTCCCAGCCAGGTAAATGACAGTAATAGTACAGACACTGATTGCAAATTGTGCTGGTATCACAGGTGGGAAGTAGGGGTGATGATGGTCCTCACTGGCAGAGCTGTTGCTTTTCCTTCTATAACCACCTACCAAGCCAGGTCAGAGATGCTGGTGGCAGACTGGGAGAAGGGAGCTACCAAATGGGAGTAGTCTTATGGAAAAGGGGCTTAATTCCTAAATTAAAGAGAAGGGGAAGGTCCTCTTGGGAGTGGGTATTGAACCAAGCTGGTAGGGAGACTGGCTTGCATTGATCAACAACTTTGTCTTTATAATAATTTCTGCAGTTCTTTGCTGAAAAAAAAAAATCCTAATTTACCCCCCTCAACACGAAGCTGATCAGATAGCAGTTTTCTCTCTTGAGCTGCCTTGTATAAAATCATCATATATGTCCAAATGCTTTTTAATCTCCCTGTTCACATGTTCACACGGCAGGACCACGTGGTGCTAGGGGAGAAGATGGTGAGCAAGGTTCTCCTGGCCCCGTGGGCCTGAAAGGTCTGTCCGGTGACAAAGGTGAAACAGGTCACCCAGGATTGCAAGGTATACGTGGTGTGATGGGTCCCCCTGGCATAAGTGGAATGGATGGCTTTCCAGGAGATAAAGGTGAGCTCTGGACTTTGAAAAAAAAGTAATGTTCCTTAAAGCTTATGTGATGAGATGAACAGGACATGTTCTCTGCTGGGCTACCTCAGTTTAAAACAGAAGAATTAGGGTCATATGCCTAATATATTCCAAAATCACTGTCTGCTTTCCCCTGTGTTGTGCTTGGCAAAATGATAGCTTGTGATGTGCAGCCCTATTTAGAAGGACAATGGCTGTTGTATTTCTCCTTTTAAAAAATATACAGTATTTACTCTTCTTTTAAAGCTGGCAGTTGTGTACTGAGCAATGCCAGACTTTTACCAGGATGCTAATCTTACATATAGAGAAGGTGAGATTCTCACTGGCCAGCCACAAAAATGCTATGTATAACGCAAGTTGTCCACATCACGCAGGGAGTTTCAACAGGATTCAACTCCACGTGAAGGCAAGTTAAACACAAAAGGAGGCTGCATGCCTAAAATGCATGTTGCAGTTTCATCAGTTGGAAAGACAGGACTTTTTTCCTAGGACAACTGTGGAGTACTGACCAGGTCTCATTTGAGAGGAATGAAGACCTATTTGTTAGCATGACCCTTGTAAAAGAGCATCCTCTTTCTTAGAAAAGAGGAGTATGGGAATTTTTGGTGGGAAAGGGCCAGTCCTAGACCCATGGTTTGTACCTCTGCATGTAGAAGAACAGGCTGGCTAAAAACCTTGCATGGAACTAGGTACCTTTCTCTAGCTTATCTGTAGAAGGAGGGTTGAAATGATCTTTCAGAAGAAGACAGTAAGTTCTGGTCATCTCCACAACATCTCCTCTTGGCCAGCTGAGGCAGTTCAGTGTACCCCTGCTCTTTACCTCTCAGAGAGCTTGGGTGTCTGATCTAGAGCTGCAGATTGTCCTAGGCATCAAGGCACCCAATAATAGGTAGTGCTGCACTGAATTTTTCATACTCATGCGTTGCTGGTTCACATTTACTTAGTATGCAGAAATCTGAGTGAGGTAACAGTTCTCTTCCCCTTCTTTCTTTAAAGGTTCAAGAGGTTCACCCGGCATTGATGGTTTCAAAGGCATGACAGGCCTAAAAGGAAGACCAGGCATCAGGGGAATCAAAGGAGAATTTGGCTCGTTGGGTGCTCAGGGCGATAAAGGCTCGCAGGGTGCACGTGGCTTTAAAGGTATTTGCTTATGGGTGGTATCAGCGTGTTTGCTTTTCACATAATTAGAACTATTTTACAAGGACACAAAGACAAAGACGACACATTTTTCACATGGTAAATTTAGCTCAGACATTCCTCCATCTATTTCACACATGGGCCTCTGGCTGAGAGGGATGGATTTTAGGCTCAGGGAAAGGTTGCTTCTTTGTGAATCTTTACGTGTTTAAGGTTGGAGACAGACATCTCATTATTCAGCTAGGCTCGGATAGTGGAGTGGCACCTGGGGGCATGTGCAGAACTCTACAGAGCCTTTTCCCAGGAAGCATAAGGTGTTTGGGGGAAAAGATTCACATTTTGCTCCAGTTGCACTGTAAAGGTACTGAAATATTCAGAAAACGAGACAATTAAGTAGCTAAAAGTCAGAAACATATCAGTTGATGGCATCATCAGTGAAATGAAAACTGTAACACAGTCCTCTTTTCTTTGCATACAATTATCTTTAAATACACACTTTACCACAAAGCCAAAAATGTTCTTTCTAGGGACCCTGAGATAGGTACTTAAGAAAAACCAGTCTGCAATTTAAAGGTTGCAAAACAGTGCTCCAGATGATAATTCAAGGGAGGTCTGAACAAAAGGCAAGTGTGAAAACAGCCCCTGCGAAGAAAAGTGCAAATATACTTTTTGGTGCAGTACAAGACAGTGCATGATCGTAAGAGACAAGTCTGGGTGGCTGGCCTATCTCTGCATCTCACAAAGAACTAGACACACAGTCTGTTTGGGTCCTTCAGGATATTATTTACTGATTTCACCAGTAGCCTTCAAATCAAGAAAAGGAACAAAATAACTGTTAGCAAATCCAAACACTTTCTTTCGCCCAAGGTTTTTTGACGGAGAGTTTCCCTTTCACTGGAACTGACCTACTTTTCTGTGCTTTCTCAGTGTGCTTTTTGGGTTTTTATAAACACATGATACCTAACTGATCTGCTGAGAGGTAAATTATCTATCACAGAGGAGTCGAGGTCTAGTACCCAGGATTGTATGTACAAAAGTTTAACTCAGTTTTCATGTTTTCCTATGCTTGACTGTTCTGCTGACACATATTGACACAGGTAACTTTTTATTCCAGTGGATTTTCCACAGCTTGTGCAAGATTATCTATTTATCCCTTATTGCTCAATTCACTCTTCCGTTCGCTTTTTCCAGCACAGTGCTGCTGACTAGCTTTTTGTAACATGGTTGGGTTTTTTACCCTTTAGGTGACCGTGGGGAACAAGGGCCCCCGGGAGAACCCCCAAAGCTCAAGCCCAGCATGATGATGGAAGTTAAAGGTGAAAAAGGAGATGTTGGAGAAAGAGGCACAAAAGGATTCTTTGGCTTAAAAGGTCAGTGGTCACAGCAAAACAGAACAAGCACATTCAGGACTATTGATCGGTGTCTTTTCTCAGTTACCATGTTAAATATTCCCTGCTCACTGTACCACTGCGCTGCAGCCCCCCCAGCAAAGTCTCTGGCAGCGAAAGCTGAGCTCCTGGCTGTGTTTCACAGAGCCACCCCCGAGGAAAGCTTTGCGGGGTTGTATCACGTGTGTGTGCTGCCTTTTTGTACTAGCTCATCATAGTGCCATGTTTTGAGACAGCCGCTAGCAGGAAGATTTCTTACACACAAGCAACTCCATATCGGCCTTCCCAGCTTTAATAGTTTAAGTCGTCTTTATTTATCTTCTTCCCTGTGTGCAGGTAGCAAGGGAATGCCAGGCATCCCCGGAAAGACAGGAACTCCAGGCTCCCCTGGGCATCCCAGCTACGTGGCTGGTGTGAAAGGGGACATTGGCTCAAAAGGGCTGACGGGTCTGAAAGGGTATCCTGGTCCAGCCGGCTCTCCTGGCATCAGAGGCTTCCCTGGCAGCACAGGAGGCAGGGTGAGTTTGTGCCTGTGAAGGAATAAGGGTGTCCTTGTGCTGGCGTTCAGCTTCTCTAGGGAGTGGCATTCACCCCTTGAAATTGTGCTGAACGGCTACAGTGCCAAGATAAAAATGCAATAAAAATTGAATAAATAGATTAAATATTTTTGCTTGATCCCTCCAATGTTCGTTAAGCAGAATCCTTCCTTTTCTCACTGGGAGACATCCAACTTCCATGCGCCAGCTCTTTGCCGGTGAGAACCCAGACAGTTCCTTCTAGGTCCTTGGTCCATTTGCAGTAGTTGTTGGTAAAAACTATTCTCAACGCTGGGCTTACTCTTCCCTTTCTCCCAGGACTGATGGTGCTACTGCCAAAAATTACTCAGTGTCACTCATCTAACAGTAAAAGAGTCTTAAGAATCTCAGCTCCTAGAGGGTAATTCAGCATGATTCACTTTGGCTGCAAAATAAGTTACATACATAGGAAAAAATGAAGTCTTACAAAAGGGCTGACAGTAGACTTACAGACATTATTTATTTAAGAGAGCCAAAAAACTGTGTTCCTTTCTCAGGTAGCTTTACCCTTAGGTTTCAGTAGGACTTTCTCCTCATGAAGGACTGCAGGACTCACTACCATATATGTGTAATAGGATGTTCTCAATTTCAAACTTAAGTCTTTGCAAACATAACTTGACCCTTGGTTTGCACTGGTTTGGTTTAACTGATTTCAGCCAAGTGACTAAATTATAAAGTACTACAGCAACTCAAAAATGGTAAATTTAATAGCCTTTTTTTCAGTATTTCCAAACTGTGATGCTTGGAACGTTGAATAAATCCTCATCCTCATTAACTGATCCCTGTTTTCAATCATATGATAGGGAGAAAAGGGTATTCCAGGAATTTCAGGCCATTTTGGTACTCCTGGCTCGCATGGTGAAATAGGTGAGTTTGTTCTCTTACCTGAGCGCTCTTTGTTTTCATTACCCATTAAATGCTCAACATTAAGTTCTGAAGAATCTTAGGGAATCTCCAGGCTTAAAAGAAACTTCAAACAGTTTTAGAGAATGATATTGCAAATGTGGGAGGCTGTGACAAGGTTAATACTGGTAATTTCATGCAACGTGTACTGCCCATGCAGAAATCTATCCATGGCAGGGAGGGCAGCTGTTCTAGAAACTTTGTGTTTTTCTTTCTTTAACTTATTCCTCTTTTTTTCTAGAAAGATAGTCATTACTGAATTTTGCCTCGGAAGTTGCAACTCCTTCAGAACAGGAAATACTGTTTACCTTAAAGCCTTATCGCTCATGTGTTCATTTTTGCTTGAAATAGGTGAGCGGGGA